TGTGTGGAGGTGGCTCGAGGCACATCTTGTACCTGTTTGCATCGGTGTGCTCTGTCCAGCAGCATAGGGACAGCCAGACATGGGACAAAAGGGCCATGCAGTGCCCCGTGTTGGCCCTCAGATCCACCACCCCTGCAGGCTCCTATTAGAGTTTTACCTATTAGAATCACCCTGATTTGGCCTTGTGTGAACCAGGCAGGCCCTCTACCATTGGCTGCATTCCCAGTCTGTATCTGTCTGTCACTCTTGATACGCAACATACCAGCTCCCCATCCACTCATCTAGAAACTTGGACAGCTGTGAATTTTACTCTGTTGCTTTACTCTGAGCAAATAGTATGACCTTAATGACAGTGATTAACCCAGGATCAGAGGTAGGGCTGTGTGTTCATCTTCATGCATTTCATGCCTGGCCCTCTCCTCTTCCTGTCTTTTCCCTGGGCTCCCCAGTGTGATGAGCACAGAGATGCCAGCTCTGCAGCAGGACAAGTCCCAGGGAAGAAAAGGGAATAACACAGCAGTGAACCAGGGCATCCGGTCGTGGTGGCAAATTCTGTTTGCAGGCCCCTCTCTGTAGCCTCAGGACAAGTGATGGAACAGTGGCTGGGCACAGCCTTAAAGAGAGTTTTACAAGGCTTTATAGGTATGGAATGTATTTAAATGACAGTTTAGGTTAGATGTCAGCATTACTTAATACTTTTAATATCTGTTTTTTTGATGTATCAGAAATGTGTTAGCTGTGGCCCAGAGTTACAGAGCCTCAGGCTTGCTGATTCCTTCCTCCATCTTTCCTTAAACTCTCAGATACTTTCATGTTTTTCATTTTAAGTTCTTACAGTGTACTAGGCTCTGAGAGGGATAGGAGAGGAAAATAAATCCCTTATTGTCGAAAGCTGACTGTTGTTGAAGAGAACAGCCTTGGGAACAGCTAATAATTCAGGGGAGTAATGAGGAAGGGCCCAAAAGAGTGATGGAGAAGAGAAAGGCTTCACAGACATGAGGTAGGAGGTTAAACAAGAGAGCAGTTGGAAAGGGAGGGAGATTCTTGGTTATGGGGTGGGGGGGCAGCTCCTTGGAGATCTCGTATAGTCTGTGTTCCAGTCTAAAGAGTGCTCTGAGTGGGTTAATAAAAAGTTCCCGGGGCTTTGAGATTTGTTGCAGCAATAACTTCTACCATTTAAAAGGCCCCTGTGCTGCTTTGAAGTTAACACCTCATTGCCCAGCAGCAGGATGGCTTTTCCTTCTCTACACTGAGGTCCTTGCACAAAAGAAGCAGAGGAGAGGACTCCAAACGTCCCATCTGTGTTGGGTTTGGACTCCGGGGCCCTTTCCTCTCTCCACCCTGTCTACTCTGCAGCCAGATGTGTGCATTCTCCTGTTTGGAGGAGAAAGCCTTATGCAGTTCCCCAGTGGACAACCCTAGAGGACAAGCACCTCGTCTGTTATTCTTCTCAGACTCCAGTCCCGTTCTTTGTAAAGATCTCCTTGTCCAAGTTCAACCAGCCAGTATTTATGGATGGTCTACCAGTGCCAGGCCTAGGAATGCGAGTCTTATGCTGGCAGGCAGGGAAGGGGAGACAGAGGGGGAGGCATGGCTCCGGCCCAGCAGCTCACTCTAGCAAACCAGGTACAAGACTGTGAAAAATGCTGGGTCAGGACTTCAAGCAGTCCAGAGGTTCTTCCGCCACCTCCTCACCTTATCTTGGGATTCCATACCCTTTGCACTTGCTGCAAAGATTCCCCAAACCTTGTTGGGTAGCCAGAGAGGCTATTTCCTTTCCTTCTTAGACCTTGCAGGAAGGGAGAGGCAAGATGTTCTCACGGTTCACACTGATTTTACTTTTATTTGAATTTCACGGGTAGCTTATGAATATATTCTTCGCCGTGTATGTTAGGCTGTGGAGATCTGCTGCCACTGTTGTCCTCATGGGCAGGGTTCTTGCAGCTCTGTCACAGCTACAGTTCCTGCAGAATGTCTGAGGGTGGCTAGAGGTGTAGACAGCTGCTGGGGGCTGAGGTGCAATTGTAGAAGCCAGCAGCAGGTCCTAGGGGATCAAGCCCTTGTTGTGGGTCTCATTCACATTCTCTCTGAGCAGCTGCACTCATTGCTCACTGGTTAGCAGATTAAACCAGCAACAGAAAGAGTTGTAAATGGCACCCCCAAACTAGTAACACTTAGCTATCAAGAGTCTAAGGAAGTATTTTTCATTTAGGGAAATATATTCCTGAGATAGCAGAATGGGACAGCATGGGGATCCAGAATCATGTCCGCCAGAGAGGTAGGGGAGGATGCCGGTCCCTTGACTTGGCCTCTCCTACTGTGTGTTGACCTTGGCAAAGGGCTTCTCTTCTCTGGAGTTCAGCCTCCCTGTCTGTCAGATGGGGATCCCGTTAGATTTATCCACACAGAAATTAGGGATGGAGCCTTTTCCTCCAGAACACCCCAGCCGGCTGAAGATATGTGGGTACTTAGGAGATCCAGGGGCAGAGCAGAAAGCATCACTAGTGCAGTTCCTGTTGAGGTCATTTTATTGATCTAAAAATTCCCCCTAAGTGATGCTTTCTCCACATTATATGTTCACCTTAGTGTATGATGTACCTCCTTCCCCAGGTTGAATAAAACCAGCCTAGCAGGAAGCTGTGCTGTGTTTGTCTTGGGGTTCCAGTAACTCCTGCCAGCCACTGGGGCCCTTGAATATAGACACTGGCCTTTCTTTTTGGTACCAGGGATCAAACTCAGGACTTTTTGCTTGCAAGGCAGGCAGTGGAACCACTGAGCTAAATCCCCAGCCCTGACACCATTTTGAAACCCCTGGAGCCTGATGATCTAGTGTGGACAGTCTCATCCTCTTCTTCTTCTTCCATGCAGCTTAATGTTTTGTGTGTAAGGACAAGAGAACATGGATAACGGTCGAGAGAACTGTTAGCTTTGAGGCTGGGCATGGTGGTGTACTTGTGTAATCCGAGCAGTCTGAAAGGCTGAGGCAGGAGGATGGAAGTTTGAGCCTAGCCTGGGCAATTAAGTGAGACCTTGTCTAAAAAAAAAAAAAGGAAGAAAGGGGAAGGGGGGGGAGAGAGGAAGGAGGGAAGGGACCGGGGATGTACCACAGTGTAAAGGCCCTGGGTTCAATCTCCAGTACCAGGTTGAGAAAAAAATAATCTGTGAGAGTCATTTGTTGCTATTTTCAGAAGGTCTCCAAACTATCAAATGGTTTTATTTATTCAGCAGATTTTCGATAGGAGTTTTAAACTGGCTTTGGGGCGCACTGAGGCTACTGTGCACATCGCTGCAAAGTGTGGCAGAGCATTGGGTCTTCATTCATAAAGTTAGGTCAGGGTAAATGACTCCCTATGCTTTCCTCTGTGGGTTCTGTTAGTCTCTTGGGTTTTTTTTGTTGTTGTTTGCTTGTTTTTTTGGTACTGGGGATGGAACTTTGGACCTTGCGCTTGTGAAGCAGGCAGCAGAACCACTGAGCTAAATCCCCGGCTCTCTTGTATGTTTTTTGCTTTAGTTGATTTCATATCCATTTCTTTTGTTTTTAAGCTTGTGACTGCAGTGTGGCCAGTGATGCAAAGTATGAATGGGTAGGAAACAGTGTTGAGATTAACCCAGGAAAGAGGTCCAAAAGAAAACTTGAATTTTATGTACAAGATAGAAGTACAGATACAGACCTATTCAAGGAGAGAAAAGGGAGTCAGATTACTCAAATCTGCAGTAAGGATTATAAGTAGATTGAAGCCTAGGAAGAGGTTTAAATTCTCTTTAAGCCTGGCTTTCCTCCTCCACCCCACCCCCAATAATACATTTCTTTGTGACAGTCTCATTCTAGAGCAAACTTTAAATATTTCTTTATAAAAAACACTTTGCGATGTTTCAGAAATACTTCCTGGTAACATAGCGTGACTTCATTTCTGAAAATGGTGCGGTTTGTAAGTTAGAAAAATTCCCTAGAAGCTCGTCAAAGCCCACTTTAGTTTGCTTGGTCAAGAAAGAGTTAATGTCTAAGACATCACAGTCTGAAATAGTTGGAAGTGATTGGTCAAAATCCTGTAAACCAAGCGGAAATTTGTTGCATTGTTTTCTATAAACCACAACCAGAGCTCATTAATTGAAAAATGAATGTCAATTTGTGTTAGCTAGCATCTATAAACCAGAAAGGTGCAGTGATCCGGGCATGTGATGGGTAATAAAAACATCAGCAAAATGTATCAGGCTAAAGACAGAAAAAGGTGGAGGAGTGGTAAATTCAAAACCATACTGGGGTTTATTGGCAGGGCCCCACATAGAGGGTTTTAATGAGGTTTCAGCATCAAAATAAGCAAAACTGCATGGAATTTTGATCATTTTTGCAGCATATTTTAAGCAAAAATGTATAGAAGTTTGCTTTTTTTTTTGTTACATTAACACACCTATCTGAACTCTGGGCTTCTGTGGGAAGACAAATATGGACATCTTAAGTGCGGCTTCTTCCGTTTTGAGTTGCTCATGTTATTCTGGGTTTTCTCATGTGCTCTGAACATTGAACTTAATACATCTGGAAGTGACCTCCCTCTAGCCATTACCTCTGCTGACTCAGGTTCCTCTTGGGCCTCTTTGGGGGTTGCCCAGCAATGACCTGTGGCTCTGGGTTGCACCCCAGCATTGGGGGTGGGGGGGTGTCACACCCCATCTGCTCCCCTCTGATGCTGTCATATTCACAGTGTGCACATGTGTAACTTGAACTCGTTAGAATATCTTTTTAGGGAGGCGCTAGGGTGAGGTACTTTGAAGATTGGTTTGGGTTTGTCATCTTGAAAGTACCTGCTTTTGGTATCAGGCGCTGTTCCCTTGCTCCCCACCCTCTGCAGATGGGCTCCTGGGTTCTGGGGAGGCCCTAATGAAGGATGGGACATGTGTCTGCCTCTCCCCTTGGGCTCTTGCTCCTCCCGCTGTCTTAGAGGTCAGGGTCCTAGGACCTTAGCGCTGGAAGGGAACTTAGAGCTCCTCCCCTCGTTTTACAGATGATGACACTGCCTCCTCTGACTTCTGCCTCTGGCCTTCCACTCTCAGTAAGAAGAGCCAGGCAGGTGAGACTTTTCACAATTGCTGGGCTGGGCAGGGCTGGGCTGGGCTGGGCTGTCTGATTGGTACTGTCTCCTTTGTGAGGAAAAAGTCTTGTTAACTCTGTGTTGCTTGTAAACAGTCACTTCTTATTACAAATGCACATCCTGGCACTTAATCATCGTAGCATTTTATGAAAAATGCATTTTAGCAAAAATGAACAACCCTTAATAAGCACCTTCAAAGACAAGTAGTAATGTAATAAGCATGATAGTATTCAAGAACAAAGGCTGAATAAAAATGAGTTAAAAGAGTAACCTATTCACTAGGGTCTACAAGAATTGTTGAGTACGTGGCTCTTACAGCTGAAGAGCTTTAGGAGAAGCAAATATAAAGAGCCGAATCATTGGAAGGTTTTAGAAGGGATCAAACAAGTACGCTGGTGTTATGAAAGGGCTTGTCACGGGAGGTTTTAATTAACCCAGTCTTTAAAAATGACAAGTATAAGTCTTTAGGCATTTCAGAAAACTAATTTCTCCATGAAATGGTTTATCACTGTGGGTTCCTAAGCCGGGCACCAGAAATACCTGCTAAGGGGACATAGTGGTAGCTTGAGAACATAAAGAGATTCCTTTAGTGGGGGACCATCTTTGGTGTTAGGTTACTGCTTCACACTGAGCTGAAGCTGATTCTATGGGATGTGGGCCAGGGCCCTGGTTGGTAGGTGGGGACATACCTATCTCCCAGTCCCCAGCTCTTTTGCCAGAGCTGCTGAGGGCACCTGGTCTAACACAGGTCCCCCATCTCCCATCAAGTCTTGAAATGCAACGATCTCTAAGGTCCTAAGCCTCCCTGTCCTCCCTTACCGAACTTTCAAAACCCACTACTGGTTTATGACCCTAAGAAGGGTTTCTGAAGGCCCGACTCTCCCCATTGCCCCAGAACAGTAAGATAGTTTCAGATTCCATTGAAATCTGGTTTGATATCACTATTACTAAGACAAAAATTACAACAAGATTTTAAATTCTTTTGCAAGTAGTGGTAGGAACATGTTAGTATCTTTCTCATGTCCCTTCATGGATGCAAAAGCCCTGCCAAGAGTACCAATAATCAAACTGATTGCTTTGGAATTTCTTTATATTGGGTTAAGGAAAAAAAAAACAACACCTTGTCTGACTCAGTAAACATTGTACTTCAAATATATGGAGTGCAGCAAAAGAAACAAAAAGGTGTGTGGGGGGGGTAAAAATTTGCTCATAGGGTCCAGTATCGGGTGGGCATTTGCATAGGACCTGGCACAGACTTAGATTTTTAAAGCCCTTTGCAATGCTCTAGGGGTGGAGAACTTAATGATAAATGCTGGTAAGACTTATAAAGTGGGGAAAAAAAAAAAAAAAAGACTGTAAAGTGACCAGTGCATTTGAAAGTCTGTTTGTAGCTTGGTATTCCTTTTTTGGGGAAAGCTAAAGTTTTCTTTTTCTTATAAAAATTCTATCATTATTTTAATTGATATTTACAGATTTTCCCCCCCATCTTCTGTTGTAATTTTTAGGTGCTTCAGAACTGGGCCCTTTTTCAGACCCCAGGCAGTTCCCCAGCATTTCATCCCTCACTGAGAGCCGCTTCTCCAACCCACGAATGCACTACCCAGCCACCTTTACTTACGCCCCGCCAGTCACCTCAGGCATGACCCTCGGCATGTCTGCCACCACTCACTACCACACCTACCTGCCACCACCCTACCCCGGCTCCTCCCAAAGCCAGAGCGGACCTTTCCAGACCAGCAGCACTCCATATCTCTACTATGGCACTTCGTCGGGATCCTATCAGTTCCCCGTGGTGCCGGGGGGAGACCGGTCTCCCTCCCGAATGCTTCCGCCGTGCACCACCACCGCCAACGGCAGCACGCTATTAAACCCCAATCTGCCCAACCAGAGTGACGGTGTGGACGCGGACGGAAGCCACAGCAGTTCCCCAACTGTCTTGAATTCTAGTGGCAGAATGGATGAATCCGTTTGGCGACCATATTGAGCTTCCTCAGCCGTGGCCTGGTGGTATCTGGGGGCCACACCCCACACGTGTCAACATATACATATATAAAGAGAGCGCATATATATATATGTATATCGGTTAGCCGTCTACAAAGTGCCTACTTACTAGAAGACCTTCCATTCCTTCACCCAGTCACGACCTCGCAAACATAAGAGGGTAGATGTTTGAAAAGTAGAAGGCCCAAGAGAGACGATCCTAAGCGGGTTTCAGATTGTTTACTATTTAAGATGTACTTTTTAGACAGGAACACACAAGGGGAAAGGTATTGCTGTTGTTTGGTCTGTACACCCTCGACAGCCTGTTCTTACGCCAAGTCAGAGAGGTGGCCTGAGGTTCAGGAGGAAGAACAGCATAGCGGCTTCCTCCGGCGCCCCGAAGCTGCACATCTCCTGGTCGCAGCGGCGTGGGGACCGCGTCCTCAGCAGACCGTGCGCTAAGATATCACGGCGCCTGCTGGGGGGCCGGAGGCAGGGCGGTGCTGCCCTTCTGGCACTGTCCGCGTGGAGCAGCCAGGCCGCCCTCTGTTTCAGACTTGCTGCAGCTCATTGTGTGAACTGTGTAGTGCAGATTTCTCTTTCCTTCTCTACGAAAGTGACTTCAAAAATACTGATCAGGATAGATTATTTTATTTGACTTTTTTATACTCCCCCTTTGCCCATTGAACCAAAAAGAAATCCCACCCCTAAGACCCCACCTTCTCCCTTTATATGAAACTGAAAATGGCAATACCTTATTATAGCCATAATGGTATAGATAGTGTTTGCGTTTGGCTGTGTGTTATTTGTTTTCTTTTTTTTAAATTATGAATATGTGTAAAATCTGAGGTAACTTGCTGACGTGAATGGTCATATAACTTTAAAGATATATTTATAATTATTTAATGACATTTGGACCTTTGAAACATTTCTTAGTGTATTGATATGTTGACTTCGGTCTCTAAAAGTGCTCTTTATTAAATAACAAATTTCTTTGGTGGGCTAGAGCCATATCTGAAATATTGCTAAGCAATTTCAGTTCATCCAGGCACAATGTGATTTTTAAAAAAACACTTCCATCTCCAAATATTTTAGATGTAGCTTGTTTTTGTAATGTATGAAGGAAATGTTATCTTTAGCTCTTTCAGATCTTTGATCACCTCTACACAGCTTTGCCTTTTAAAGCAATGATAGGGATTTTTAAAAACTGCCCTTAGCCCTTTATCACTTCTCTTGCCCTTTCTCAGCATGAAATGCTGGCATGATGTGGTTTCCTAACTTCTTTTGGATAATTATGACTCTTGTCATATTAAAAAGACAAGCACAAGTGAATCACTGAACTGCAGGAAAATGTTCTGTGGTTTCAAAGTTCAGCAAAACTCTAAAAATCGCCAGGCTTCATAGTGAAGACATAGCTTAAAGCCACACGTGTGGCTAAAGGATCAGCTGTGATGTGCATAGCGCAGGAATGCAAAATTATTCTACGGATTCTTCACCAACCAGCCTTACCAAACAGTAAACCAAGGAAACCCAAATCTGCCTTACCCGAGCCCCCTTGCAGCTCTCCACAGAACTTGCATTGAAAGGAGCACAGTGAAGGAATTGCTTGTCCTGGGGGGAGCTGGGCACCCCAAGTAGTGACAGTTCCAGCAGGTGGCTGATGGGAGAGGGCAGAGAGCCTTCAGGGACCCGATACAGCCTGTGAGGTGGGGTTCAAAGGCAGGCCAGGGTGCAGAGTTTCTTGTCCATCCCTGACTATGAGTTTGAGCTACGGGCCCTGCTGCAGGATGCTCTCTGGCCCCTCCTAGTACCCACATGGCCAAGTGCACATCCTTAAGTGGTCCAAGCCAGGATCGTGTAATGACTCCACCAGGCAAGTCCATGCTCTCCTCCCCCAATGATCAAGGTGCCTTAGTTTGAACCCTGTGCCCTCCTGAGCAGAGATTTGCTCTGGCCCCAGATGGGACTGGGGTCCTTCTCAGGGCCACCGAGTACGTGGGACAGCTGCGGACCAGGCGGACCTGGGTGTGTCCAGTGGCCATCTGCCTCTCTTACAATTCATCCTGACTCCTTCTAATAAAAGTTGAGGGGAAATGAAGCAAAAACACTTCGCCTTCTAAAGGTTGTATACCAAGTATGCTTAGATAAATAAGCCACTTTTCTATTACCTAAGATGGAAGTAGTAGTTGATGCTATTTATTGTTTGTGTGTGGTGGCTTGAAGCACACCACTGCCCATTTATTTGTGCGTATAAAATATGTGTTTGTTTCAGCAGCACTTAAAAAAGCCAGTGTCTGGTAACACATTGCAATTTTAATTAATTGACATAAAAATGTTACCACCGGTACCAGCTGCACCCTATTTAATAAAAAAAAGGTACTATATTTGTACATTATTTTTTAATGTTAAAAGGGCTTTTTTAAGTTTACAGTACACATATTAAGTGACTATAGGGATGCTTTAATGTTGAAATGTTATTAGAGTGGCTGCAGGCAGCAACCCAGAAACACTTTAAAAGTCTTTTTTCCTTGGGAAAAAATCCAAGCACTTCCCTCCACCCTCCCTCCAACCACTCCAACAGAGTCATTCACATTTTTTTTGAACAAAAGTCTGTCCCTTTTATGGCCTAGGGATTAGTATTCATATTCTCTCTCCTTTCCTCTCTCCCTCTCTTCATCCCTCCCTCCCTGACTCCCTCCCTTGATTTGTGCTGGGTCACGTGTAGGATTTGTGATTCCGAGACCAAAACAGTCTTACACCTGCTAGGAACCGTGTATATCAGCGCCCTCCTTCCTTAGGGTAAAGTAACATGGTTCTTGGTGTGACACAGATGTCGCTGGAATTTATAGTGTAACCAGTGTAGTCACATTTTTTTAAAAGAAAGAAATGTATTTCGGTTGGCTCATCAATTTTAACCTATGTCAGAGTTCTAGAACAGGCGCCACCGTTTGGGTTTAGGCTAGACTCATGTCCAACTTGGAAGAGAGAGAACCCAGTGGTTTAACTGATGCTCACTCTTGAAATCTCTCTCATCCTTCACCCTGGGGCCCTTTAAAAGTGAGCAGAGAAAGGAATCCACACTGTTAGGGACTGACTGCATTGTAGATCCGGAAGGCAGGAGAGGAGAGCTCTGACTTAAAGGGTTCCCCTCCGCTCCTTAGAACAGGGACGGATCCCAAGTCTAGGTTGAATGTGGTAACGCGGCATTAGCAAAGTAACCATTATTTCCACGGTGTTTGAAAGAACAAGTGCAAACCGAATAAAAGATGGCTTTTCCAAATGTTGAATTTGTTGTTTTTAAAAAGAAAATGCATTTCTAAAAAAATACTTTCTATGTGAGACTTTTTTAGTTGTCTGTTTACTTCATGTTTACAAATAATTGTTTGCTTTTTAATGCAGTACTTCGAAATATATCAGCCAAAAACCATAACTTACAGTAATTTCTTAGGTATTCTGAATAAAATTCCATTTCTTTTGGACATGCATTACCATTCTTAGATTTCTGTGGAACAAAAATATTTGTAGCATTTTGTGTACATACAAGCTTTCATTTTTATTTTTTCCAATTGCTATCGCCCAAGGTTTGCTTCCCACGCACATATTGTACAAATTCTGCTTTGTACCCCAGGTCACGATGTGGATAAGTTTACTCTGAACTTCAAAGGGACTATTTGTATTGTATGTTGCAATTGTAAATTGAATTATTTGGCATTTTTCTCATGATTGTAATATTAATTTGAAGTTTGAATTTAATTTTCAATAAAATGGCTTTTTTTTTTTGGTTTTGTTATGTGTGTACATTGGGTCTTTTCTCATCGGCGGTTTCTTCTCTGGTCTGATGTCTCCTCCTGCCCACACCTGGGCACCGCTTGGTTTTAGCGATTACCAGGGCCCAGTAAGAGCAGAGATCCGATGTTATTGGCAAGAGGGAACCAATTCTTGGTAAGCGCTGTGTTCTTGTTTGGTCCTGCTTCTCAAGAGGGGTGGGCCCTCAGAGATCCCGGTAGCCTTAGCCTGTGTCTGAAGGCAGGAGTGCTCACGATGGCTTGCAGTCAAGCCCCTTTTCCAACTAGGGATCCTGTCAGTGGGTATGGTTAGGATGGTCTCATGATTCTTATCTCTGGGAACATGCAGCGGCCTAATAGAGTGAACCCCAGTTGAAGTCGGGAGAGCTTGAACAGCCCAGATAAAGAGGGGATTGTCCATTGTCCTTCCCATATCTCTTTTAGATTTTTAAGAACAAAGTCAACCAAAGCCCAGGGAGGAGTAAAATCGGACCTTAGTCTGGAGGGCTCTACCCTCAGAAGATTTCTACTAGATAGCCTGACTAGAGCATGGAGATACTTTTTCTTGGCCATTGTTTACTTTTGGTGAGTCCCTCCCTGGTGGTAAGGTTGAGGGCCTGGTGTAGAGGTTGCTTTCTTTATGTCCCATGCTTTCTGTGTGCCTTACTTTTCCACAGCTCCAAATGGAGGAACCAGGGAATCAGGGTGCAGAGAATCTTGGTCACTGGCCATGGTGGCCCATGCCATACTGAGAGGCAGAGCTCTCCTTTAAGAAAAAAGATGAAAGATTCATACAGTCAGAAGAGAAAACAAAGTACAGAGGCCCCTTTCAGAGGCTCTGCGTTCTTCCTTCTCTTTAACTTTTATTTTTTATTAGTGCATGTTTGCAGTGCATAATGATCACGTCCACTGTGGAAAGTAGCTACACAAACATAACACATCTTAATTCCTTTCATGCCTCTTCCCCTTCCTCCATCTCAAGATCCCCTTTCCTAGTTCCCAAAGATCTGCCTCCCTGTCACAAGAAAAATGCAAAATGTAAATAATTTAAAGAAAGTCTGTTCATTCCTAATCCTTTGGCACGGTTTTCTGAGAAATCTTGCAATCAGCTGATCTCTTAGACTTGGAGCCATTCTAAAGTCACTGTTAGCAATTTTTGAAGGCCAATCAAGCACCCATGTGGTTCTAAGAGGCATCTGCATGGAGGTGGTATGGACCGCCCCCAAGCCTGTTTTGCCCAGCCACACATTATGGGGCTGATCACTTTGCTCCTGAGTCTCAGCTTCTTGGCTTGTAGAAAGATGTGCTAGACCTTGACGCTGTTGACATTTCAGGCCAGAAAACTCCTGGACATATGCATGTGTGCGTGCGTGCGTGTGTGTGTGCGTGCATGTGTATCAGGGTGCTGTTCCAGCAGTGCAGCATGTTTAGCAGCATCTCCGGCCCCTACTTACCTTCCAGATGCTAAGAGAACCTCCCAGTTCAGACATTTCCAGATGTCCCCTGGGGGCAAGAGCTCCATTGATTGAGAAGCACTGGGCAGGAGGCTTTCTCAGTTCTTAGGCCAGGCTTTATGGACATGGCTCCTAGAAAAAGACAGCAGTCATTAACACAGGTCCCCAGGCAGGAGACAGAAGGGCTTCCCAAGCCTTGGGTGTGCGAGGACACTTCTGTCCCTTTTCCCTTGGACCCTGAAGTGTGGGTGTGTCCTGGAGTGCTCCTGGCTTCCTCCTCACACTGTGGGCAGCACACACCTCTCGGTTCAGCCAGGACTGGCTGGCCATGCAGATCATGGCTACTGAAATGACAGGCAGAAGGCGGCAGTTTCTTTGGGGTTTCCGACCCCCCTCATGTCCCAAATATTTAATCATCCAACATCTTTGCGAGAGTGGGTGTTTGCTGTTAACCCAATCCCAGCCGAGACTGGCTCAACACCTTCGCTCTCTGTTCCAGTTTATTTGGCTGGGAAATGGGTACTGCCGTGTAAACAGGAAGGCCCCTGAAGTTATTATCTGCAGATGTGGTTGAAGAGCCACATGTTTATATTTATGGGATTTGAAAACAGTCGGAAGGGTGAGGGAGGATGTCAAGGAAGCCCTCCTTCCCAGACCCAAGAGTGGGTCTTACTGATTGTCATTCCCCCCCCCCGCCCCCGGAAACTGGCCAGGACCCACTGTGCAGAGGAGGGACCACTTCTGCCTGGATAAGCAGATTAACGAAGCAGCCAATCAAGCGGCCTCTCGGTCCCAGCCTTTGACGCGCCTTCTAGAGACCAGCGTTACAATGACGCTTTTGCAGCCTAAGCTTTTCCCTGGAGAGTGAGAGAGGACAGCTCGCCCCACCTGCTGCAGTTTTGGGGAAGGTGGGGGCGGGGCAGGTGGCTCCCTTATGGAATCCAGGCAGACTCACCCCTCTGCTGCCACAGTCGGCTTCTGCACGGCATTTTCTGGGCATGGACACAGTGACGGTGCAGGTGACACAGCTGTCTCACTTGCACCCCGGCTGTACCCCAGTGTAGGCCCAGTCCTTCCTTACCCATCCTCTGCCCTTTTTTCGGGGCCCATCTGCTTGTCCTTGGAGCAGGTGCTTAAGGAAGGCCAGGTAGCAAGGCATAGAGAGCTACTGCTCTGATTTTAAATTATGCGTTCTGAGCCAAGGCAAGAGAACCTTTCCCCACCCCGCTGCCTTTCCTGGGTATCCTGATAAACCTCTGTGGCTTTTTACCCTGGTGGCCTTGGAAATGAAATTTTAAAAACTTACAAACTGTGCATCACAACTTCACAAAACAGAGAATCCACTGAAGATGCACAGGGTAGTATATGGTGTGTGTACACCTGTGCGTGCACACACACACCTTCAAGGGGGCAGCGAGGCAGGAGGGGGATGGGAAGGGGACCCTGTGCATCTGTCCTGGGAAAGCCAAGGCTCACCACCTGCAAGAACATGCTCCCGGCACAGTGTTGATTCGCCCTGGTTTTTTATTCCAGCAATTTGTGCACACACACACACACACACACAAAAGAGCTCCTGCCTATGGTGAAGAAGCAGTTAATCTCCTTGAAATCGGTTGTTAGAGAGGACAAGGGACCCTGACTGCTCCTTGTGACATCCGTGAAGGGAGCCTGGGGGAAACTGATGTTTAAGAAGTTATTAATTTTTGTAAAACTTTATTCAAAAGCTACTTAGGCCTTGGTCCAGCCCTGCTGTTTCACTTATGCTCAGCCAGTCAGAAAACAGAGGGAACAAATTGCTTGGAACTCAACTTTTACCAAAACTTGTTTCATTTTCTTATCACCTTTTTGCATCAATGTCAGCCTCTTTGGTGGCAGGTTTTCTGAAACCCTTGCTTTCTGTTTTAGCATTGTAACCACGGCTGGCTTCTTGACTCTTCTCGGGTCGTTCCGTCTCACTCTACAAAGGGGAGCGTGTCCCCTGCCTGCCGTTCTCATCACAAAAAACAAGGACGTAGAGTAAAATGCTTTCAAAAGAAAAATCCAAATTCTTCTGCCTCAAGCCCTTCAAGGAGTGGCTGTGGCAGCCCCTGCTTGAAGTTTGCAGCAGAAATAAAAACACAACCAGGTCATTTTATGCTCTCAGAGTGCCCCAGGTGCCAGAGTCAACCTGAGTGTGGGAAGGGAAGGAGGAGAGAGGAGACAGTGGATCAGAGACACAGTACCAGCGACAGAACTTGAGGCTGTGCTTGAGAGGCAGGAGTACCCAGAATCCAAAAATACCACTGCCTCATGGATTGATATATGTATGTAAACTTATTAAAAAATAGCAGAAAGATAACACGTGACACGCACTATAATGGGGGTACTAATAAAGTGGTTTTTATGATTTAGAACTCCTTTCCTTCCTAAATTAAGTCCTATAAAAAAAAAATCCATCCATCTAGTTTCACTTTCTGTTTCTCTCTCTTTCTCTTTTCATCATTTTTCTAAACAAGAGGATCATTCTATACTCCAGGAATGCCTTGGCCTGATTTTGTTTTCTCTAACAGTCATTTAAGACTTTAAAATCATGGAAATTGCATTGATTTGGCTTCTTTTTAAAGTAGAGTGTCTGGAGGGTTGTAGTGTTTTGTGTTTTTTTCACAGTGGATCTGGGGTCAGAGAAAAATATGTCTCTTTATGGAAGTCTCAGTGGTGGTTTCAAAGATGAGACATGCAGGGGTCGCTATTGAATCTGAGCTTAGCCACACCTTCTGGAACACAAATGTCCACACAGGTTGGGAAGGGAGAGATTGGTAGACCAGTGTTCAGTCCTTGCGGCCACAAAAGACCTGGAAATTATCTGCGAAGGAAGCAAGTATCCAGCTTTAGTAAGGAGTTAAGTGGTTAATAGGAAGTACTTTTTTTTTTTGCTTTTGTTTTTTTTTATTGGCTAATAAAACCTCTCAGGGTTTTTCATATATTATGGTTCCTTCAAGCTCCTGGCCTAATGCTCAGAAACAGAAAAAAGACAAAAACAACAACAAAAAGTTGGAGCCGAAATACCAATACAAGTCCCAGTCTTGTTTACTTTTTCATTTCCGCAGTTGTAAAAAAAAAAAAAAAAATTCCTCTGGTAATTCAACTTTATCACACTACGGGGCTGGATCAGCTTTTGAACAGCTCCAGGGATTTCTGCCTCCTTGTGAAAGGGAAAAGTACACCCTGTCTCTGTTTCAGAAACAGGAGACCAAATGATGGCTAAGGCAGGAAATTTTAAAATGAACCCAGTGGTGGAGGAGGGAGGGCAGATATTGGAGTAAAAACTATCTTGGAATCCTGAATGCAAATGATCTCTGTCCTTTTATTGCCAGTGGTTCTGTCCTCCGAACAGAGCAGGATGTTCTTGTTTTTAATAATAGCCAGACCAGATGCTAACTTCTCCCCAGCAACACGCTGGGTAAGTGAGAAGACAAACAGCTGATTCCTGTTAAGATGAACACCAGGAGAATGAGCCAGAAAGTATGACAATCCTCAGGATGGT